AGTATTGGTACAGAGCTGAGGAGTTCTTGCCTGAGAGGTTTCTGGAGAGAGATACTGACACGAAAAGACAAGATTTTTTACTTCTACCTTTTGGGTCAGGGAGGAGAAAGTGTCCTGGGTATAGCCTTGGAATGAAGATTGTAAGGGCTACTTTGGCTAATTTATTGCATGGCTTTAACTGGAAACTAGCAGGAGACATGAAGCCTGATGATGTGTCTATGGAAGAGGTTTATGGCTTGACCACTCACCCAAAATTCCCACTGTCTTTCATCATTCAACCAAGGCTTCCTGCACATCTTTACTAATCAATCTATATTAAAGCTTCTTTCTAAAGCTATTGAATAATATACATTGAAGAGATTTAATAAATTGAATGTTGACTGACAGGTTTTAGAGTTTTTGTACATTTTCTGTTATTGCTTGGGAAAAGCACACATGACTACATGAGGGGGATGTAACAATAATATGACCCTTATTTTCTTGATTATGTGAATCAAGGGTGAGATGGAGCTAATCAACCAAATCTTCTTTTCTTTTCAACATTAATTATTATAGTACACGTGTATACACACGGAAAATAGCCGTTAGTGCATATATTTTTACTCATAATCCAATTAAATATTAAAAAAATAACTTTTTAGGATTCTATATTTTTGAAAAATAAGAGTACAATAAGCTAATATCATAAAGTATAAACCATACAATAAATATTCAATGAAGAGTATATTAGGAAAAACTAATTGACACAACTTATTAGAATTTGCTACCCATTAATTTCATTATTAATTTTATTTTAAAATTAAACATTGTTCTAAAAAAGTGAGTATAATAAGTGAATGACATAAAGTTTGAGTGAATGCAATAAATATTAAAATTAACGAATATTAGTTAAATAAGAAGTTGCTAATCATTAACTAAATTAGTGCTAACATATGAGAGAGAAAATTGTTCTACCCAGTTGTTAATCAATTTATTTTATTTGTACCTAAAAGAATTACATACGAGAGAAAATTCTTCCGCTCAATTGTTACCCAGATTCTGTTATACCTAAAAACACTACATATGAGAGAAAAAAATTTCTTGCTCAATTGTTAGCTGGATTAATTGTATAATATACCTAAAAGAACTACATATGAGACAGAAAGTTCTTCTGCTCAATTTTTAGGAATCTTATTTTTTATCTTCTTTTTACCTAAAAGCACTGCATATGACAGATAAAAGAGGTTTCCTTAATATTACTCCCTCCGTCCCATAAAATAAGTCTGATTTTCTTTTTTGGGCCGTCCCAAAAAATTGTTCTCATTTCCCTTTTTGGAAAGTTTTGTGTGGCTAACATTCATTTACCTTTTTCTTACTCAACCACAACCATACATTTCCACTTTATTCCCACTTTCTTAAACTCTGATCCAAATTGAAATGAGATTTATTTTATGGGACGGAGGGAGTATTAAAGTAAGCTTGATTTCAAAAAATATGATTACTTTTACATTTGGACAAAACTGTGACTAAAATAAAGTGACAATCAAATATTCATGTCACTGTCAACATGTCATTACCGCTGTCGCCGCTGTCACTTATGCCGTCGTGGCCGTATCACTTCCGCCGCCATTGCTTGTGTCACTGCCGCCGCCGGTCACAGTGACATTATCATAGTTACACCACCACAGGCCACGGTGACACCGTTGCTGGCACCGTCCAATTACCTTTGTCGCACCACCCAATTACCTCCGGAGGTAACCACCTCTGGCCACCGCCTGCAACCACCGCTGGCAACCAACACACCCAAGCCCCTGCCTCACCTAGGCCCTCTGCCTCACCCAACCCCCTCCCTTCCATCACACAGCCCCCGCCTCACCCAGCCCCCTCTCTTCGTAATGGTCATCATATCCGAATGAAGTTGGAAAATGATAGGTTGAATCATGTATAGAAATTGTCTCAGAAAACTTTGGATGAATCCTAAATGAAGCAAAAAGTTAGGAAACTTTGGATGAATCCTAAATGAAGCAAAAAGTTAGGAAACTTTGGATGAATCCTAAATGAAGCAAAAAGAAACCCTTATATGGAGTTGGAACCCAAGACCTCTAATACCTACCCTTTATTTTCATTTCATTTCTTTACCATTGAACCAATTATGTTTCATGTTTAGTCATGGTTATATAAATATATAAAATCTAATATGCAAGAAAGGATATTAATTAATACAAGCTCAAAACAGTTTCAAACCGAACCCCGATTTTAGCTAGGCCGAATTTCAGGATGTACGTTACAAAGACTCTACTTTTCACTGTTTACACTGATGTTAAAGTGTTATGTCTTATACTATCTCAATCTCCGTCTACATCTTATAAATCAAAATATTTATACTAACTCGCATCTCCGTCTCCATCTCCATCTTATTTTTTTTCTCCATCTATATCTCAAATTTAACATAATGTGGTTGATGTTCTTCTATTCAAACTCATGAATCCGGGCATGTCTAGGGAGAACATTAGTTCTCAAAGGCCATGGATTTCAACATCGCCATGGAATTCGTGTGCACTTCGGGGTTTTTAATTTTTTAATTCAACAAGTTGAAAAGCCATGGATTCCGATGAAGTTTTTGAATTTCGTATGCATTCTGGTGTGAAAAATCATGCAAATATCTTTTAAAAAATACTTTTTAATTTATTTTTTCTATCATTTTCATATCAATTTAACAATTTTGTGTTTCCAAACTTCTTGTAATTTCAATATGATTTTTTTACCATTTAGAACATGGTACTCATATATTATGGATTCTCCAGTCCCTTGAATTATGTATGCATGTCATTTGAATATGAAATGCGGATATCATAACGATAAGATGCACTATATGAACTTTTAAAATGCATATGCCATCTAATTAAAATGCACTGCATGAACTTCTAAAATGCACATGTCATCTTATTAAGGTGCACTTATAATACTCTTACTGAAGTGCAATATAAGAACTTCTAAGATGCACATGTCATAATGACAAGATGCAGTATGAAATATTAAAGTGCACATATATCATCTTACTAAATTTCAATACACGAACATCTAAAATGCACATGTCATAATGATAAACTGCAAATTCGTATAATGTGACATGTTTCTCTTATATTATGCACTTCTACTAATATACCGTTTAAAACATGTTTCTCTTGTATTATGCATAATGTGACATCATGAAATTTTTGTATACATGTCAATTGACTATACAATGCAAATGTCGTAACGATAAGATGCATCAAATTGTCTTCTATGATGCACATGGAATCTTACTACTAAAATGCACAATACATGAATTTGTAAAATGCACGTGTCATAATGATAAAATGCATGCAACATACTAGTAAACTATTAAAATGCAGATGTCATAACGGAAAGATGCAATATGAACTTCTAAAATGCACATATCATCATACTAAAATGTAATATATGAACTCCTAAAATGCACATTTTATACTCATAAGATGCAACATACGAAACACTAAAATGCAACGTAATATCGATATATGTTATCACTTAACATTATTTAGTTCTAATACAAGTTATGGAGACATTATAAATATGAAATGCACATCCCAACAACTTAACATGCACATCTCGTAACCTTAATATGCACATCTTGTAACATTAATATGCACATCATGTGACCTTAATATACAAAAATTCTACAAGTGCTAACTTCTTCATTCGAGAGCTCTCCATCTATAAGTTTCAAATTTTAATTTTGAAGGTTAATTATGGAGCATCTGAATCCGTAAATTAAGAGATTAGTTTTATAAATGCTATCGTGTGTTCTTGTAGTGAAGCCATTATTTGAACCTTTTTTGTTGGACAAAATCTCACCTTAATATGTATATAAAGATTCAACTTCCTCCTCCAATGCTTACTAATTACTCCAATGCTTACTAATTACATGAACCTTTTTCTAATTTGCTTAAATTGAAGGTGTAAATATTAGTAGTGGGTTACCTTAATTGATTGGATGTTAGTAGTGGGTTACATTAATTAGTGGTGATCGCAGGTTGGCAGCTCCATTTTTAAAATGTCAAATGACATTGGTAACCTTCCCCACTATCTGCTGCAATTTAATAGCCCAAACGATTTACATTCTCTGCATTTCAACACACGCTCCATTACTGTGGATGACATTTATCCGCGTTGCACATTCGCAGTGGCAGAAAACTTCGATTTATTTACGACATTGTCACCGCGTTTTTTGATCAAATATAGTGCTTTTTTGGCTCATTTTGAGCCATTAGATCTAAAAATGAATTCACCAGATTAATTCTCACTTTGCATGGGAAGACCTCTTTGTATTTGAACCATTCCCTATATATATATATATATATATATATATATATATATATATATATATATATATATATATATATATATATATATCCTTTTAAAATAAAGTCATATACTATCCTTCGTTCCATAAAAGTTGCAACAGTTTGACTTTCACGTTTGCCAACGCGCAATTTTGACTGTAATTATATTTATTTACGTATTAGTAAACATTAAAAAAAGTTAATATATTAGAAATTTACATTAATACAAATTTATTAATATTTTATACATAATATTTTTATTATATATATTATTAGAAAATCGTAGTCAAAGTAAGGTGTGTGAATAGTGCAGAAATTCCAATGTTGCAACTTTTATGAAACGGAGAAAGCATATCCTAATCATTGGAAGCCCACATAGTTTACGAACGGATACAGGAAAATCCCGGTTATATGTCAATGGAAGCAAATTCTTTTACATTTGCCATCATGCTGAATAGATACTCCGTATAAAAAAATGTGGTGAGAAGAGAGTAATTGTTACTACTCACTCTCTACACGTGGGCTAAAATATCATAATGCAAATGGAGAAATAAATCTTCCATGAAAACTTATGAGGCTAGGTTCATCTCTTCTTCATTACTAGATCAACTTTATAAACGAATTGAAACAATGAAGAGTGCGTTCATTTAGAAAAATTAACAACAATGTCATCATCCCGAAACCTGCAACATTCATCAAACTCCAATAAGAGCCATAAGTTAGTCTTTTTATTCTTACTCTTAATCTTCCTCCTCTGTGTATTAAGACAGAGACTTGTCGCTTCCAACCAACAGACCAAATGGTCGCCGCAGAATCCCCAGACATTCGAGAAAATCCCGCCTTCTCTAGCAGACGCACTAGTCCACTACGCCACCGCGAACCGCACTCCCCAACAAACCTTTGAGGAAATTTCGCTCACAAAAACCGTCCTCCAGAGAAGGTCACCATGCAACTTCTTGGTGTTTGGGCTCGGATTCGACAGCTTGTTGTGGAAATCCCTGAATCACAATGGGCGAACTGTTTTCCTAGAAGAGGACAAGCAATGGATAGAGCGCGTCAAGTTGATGAAGTTGTCCCTCGAAATATACCACGTGGAGTATGACACTCACGTTGAGGAGGCAGTGGAACTGTTGAGGATTGGGAAGACGGATGAAGAGTGCAAGAAGGTGATGGACCCAAGATACTCGAAATGCAGATTGGCTCTCAAGAATATGCCCAAGGAAGTGTATGAGACAAAATGGGACCTGGTGATGGTGGATGCGCCCAAGAGCTGGACCAAGGAGCTGCCCGGAAGGATGAGTGTGATTTATACGGTTGGGATGATGGCAAAGAACAGAGAAGAAGGGGCCAAAACTGATGTGTTTGTGCATGATGCGGAAAGGTGGGTGGACAATAAGTTTTCGAGAGCTTTTCTTTGTGAAGCTTACATGAAGGAACAAGTTGGGATGCTGAGGCACTTCACTATCCTTGCTCACAACACTGCCTCTAATATGCCCTTTTGTCCGTAGCACCCAAAATTTTATCTGTTAAGCTTCCACGCGCAAGAATTTGGCACTATACCCCAACTTTTATATATTTCCCGTTATATATCTTTTACTTTTCTCCATTTCAAACATGATTCATTTTCTCTTTCAGTTTTTGGATGTAATATTGTATGTCTTTCAATCGTGTGAGTTTCAATGCATTCTTTAGTTGTAGTGTAATTCCATTTCAATAATGTGAGTTTCAATGCATTCTATATATATTCATATCGCATTTTATCAGATGCAACCTGCCTTGTGTGGTTAGGCAAAGGATGAATTGGATCTTGATAATCACTTAATGGCATTTTTTTTATTGATGCATGTACATCTCGAAGATTAACTTAAAATAAATACAAGGGGAAAAGACTCTAATGTGACTATAACAGACTTCATATGCAAATATGACCTCCATCTTTTTAAACCCTAAATAGGGCCTATTATTATCTGGACGGACAAAAATACCCCCAGCTTCTTTTACTTCGGATCTAGTTTCTACGCAATTCACAACTTCCTCACAATCGCGATCCAAGCTCAGATGACAACGACGAATCTTCCTCACAATCGCAATCCACTCAATCTTCCTCACAAATTTCAAATGTTAGAATAATTCGTCGAAGGTAGAACGAAACTCAGATCTTATTCCAATCTAGCTTTCAGATCATAATAATTCGCTAGAATATTTCGCTTTTCTACAAAATGAAATGCACTTTTCTTCTGGAAGCATCATAATTTCCATTATAATAGTGTCTCTTGGTGTCACTTTTATCCGCAAAAAAAAGTATAATAAAAATCAATGAAAAAGTGCATGAACGAAATATGATAAGTGCTCAAAAGTTTAATAGAAAATTTACCATGATCATCTTATTAGAAGTTAATACTACGTATATACGTAGTATATAGTATTACGAAATTGTTCGACATTACACACGTTAAATGCATCATATGCTAAATAGCTAACGAAAATGCACTAAATTGTTAGTGCAAATCTACGAATCTAAAAATATATTAATACAAATCCATACATATAAAGATATGGAACAATAATATGTAAAAGTGCAAAAACATATACGTATATGACGTGCACTTGTCGTTAGGTGCACTCAAAATAAATAATCAATACAACACTAATACGTAGTATAGTGTAGTAAGGTTCGTATCCACAGGGAAAGGAATACTTTTCTTTTATAAAAGTAGTAACAAAGGGGGGTTTAGATTTGTTTGTTTTAACAACACTAAGATAAACAACCTATATGAGTTTAATTCAATGAGATGAAGACTTGGTTTTGCTTTTATCCACTTAATGAAATGTTCGTCGATCCCGGTTATATCTTTAACTATCTTCCTCTCGAATACTCAATCGAGGAGTATATCCAGTTCATCGAGGGTAGTTATTAATAACGAGATGCGTTCATTAATAAAACTTACTATCGAGTCAATATAGAACAAGCGCCGTATATTAACTTGATAGTAGCAATAAACTTAAGATGAAAACGATTGAGATTGATAACCTCAACGCAAGCGGTTTATTGGTTTAATCAATATAATTAATTCCCCTTGGCATATTAACCATGAGATGCATGCATTAATATTCCAAGTTTACTACCGTTGAAAGAACCGGATTAATAACAAGCGTATTAACCGATTGATTCTAGTAATAATTAATATGAGAAACAATACTAGTTGATACTTTAAGTAATGTTTAAGATATTAACATGAAATATGAATAGGAATTAATTAATACTCAAAGAAGAATATTAAAATATATGAATCCTACTATGATTAATATCAAGATGTTAACTAATTGTCATCTTAGTAACACTCCCCAATATTATCATAGAGGAAGAAATAGCTATTACTATAACCAATGTCAAGATGTTAACTAATTGTCATCTTAGCAACACTCCCCAACTTTGATATAGAGATAGTATTTTGAAAGAAAGAATTAATATTCAAGGAAGAAGATTAAAGAAAATAACTCACAACTTACAAATTCATTAAGCTTCAAAGTAGCAAAACCAAGATGGAAGAGTTTAGCTCCTCATTTGGAGACTAAACATGATGAAAAATATAAAGAAAGAGCTATGCTATACTGAGCTTAGATGTACAAAGGGATTGGATATCTTTTTGTGAAGGAAAGGAGCTGTATTTATAGGTTTTTGGGATGGGATTCGGGTACTCGATCGGGTATGTACATGGTACCCGATTGAGTACGTGTGTAACACTCGATCCGAGGCATACTCGACCGGTTTCAGGCTATTTTCTAAGAGTATACCCGATCGAGTATATATGAATACCCGGTCGAGTATGCTTAGAAAGTGGTATTCGGGCCATACTCGACCGATCTTCGTTTGCAATCCAAAGGCATACCCGATCGGGTATGTCGGTCTACCCGATCGGGTATAGACATAAAATCGTGGCCAAAATCTTCCCTGCATGTTCCCTTGTCTTCGGATCTGATCCGATTTGAAGTTCCAACCTAATACACGATCGAGTATAGCTAATACTCGACCGAGTATAGACCAAAATTCAGGATCTTCTTTTGTCTTTGAACTTTTGCACCTTCTCTTCACTTTTTGGGTTCACCAACTGTACTTTGAGTGACCAAAACCTGCTTAAGCTCAGAATATATCTAATCTAACCTATTTACAAGAATTTGACAATCTAATCTATTACACCAAAAGTGTGTAATTTCCAAAGTAAAAGTCAAGCAAAACTAATTAAAAACATAAACATAGATATGGAAATTACGAACGTATCAGTATAGTAGCATTGAATTCAAAAATCATCATTTAAATATCTTTGAAATTGTCGATTACAAAAACCAAATCACCATAAATGTTAAAACAACGGCGCACCATTGGCAAACAATAAAATCTGATGGGATCAAATAAATTATAAATAAAAACTTGGATTAAAGAAGAACTTCATCCATGGGGACAGAAACATATTTTTTAAATGTAAAGTTCACAAACTAAATTCCGAAATACTAATTAATTTCATATCATGAACCATGTGGAGGATAGGAGATTATATGCTTCGATCGGAAAGGATATTCACACTCTTCAACTTCATAAGAAAAATTAGAAACATGAGAGAAAGAGAGTTACATTTGTAAGAAGAAGATGAGAATAAGGTGAAGATGAGAATTTCTTGTTTCATTCATTCATTTACTTTTCTGTTATAGTAGCGTAATTAGGGTGTATATTTTCAATAACCTTGCTTTTCAAATTATTAAGTGTCACTTCAATTGTTTTAGAATTTGTGTGTGAATTAAGATGTTTACACATGATATATAGATAATTTGAATACGTTTTCACTTCTTCCTGAATTAAAGTCTGATCCCCTCAGCTCTTAAGGAATATAAAATATGTACTCCTATTTAGGGATCGAATAGTTTTAGTCATATATAGAGGAATTTTTTATCTTAAATTAAAATCTTTAATACTTGTATAGTTAGTTGTGTCACTCCTTGGGGAAGTCGTCTCTTAAGTCTCAAAGCAACCATTTGAGCTTGCACCCGGTTCCAAATTAGAATTTTAAAAGACGTTATTTAAGATTTTATTTCAAAAAACAAAGATTTGTAGATCTTTTTTATACTCCGTAAAATGTTGTTTGTTATGATTTTCTGTTTTAAATCCTCACTATCCTACCCCTTCCGCAATATATACTTTGTAATACATATTCCAACAGTCTCAGTCCATGATGCTTCACTCAGATCTTGGGGGTCACCGAGGCCCATATCTGGGAGCTCGGGCTCGTGATGAGAGGTCTCGCCCCTTTGTTCCCGCTTTTGAGGTAGTTGTCTGCCTGGCGCTTGTTGACCATGTGTTTGACTTCCGGGATCAGACCCGATACCAAGCTCGGGTGACTCGGGTCGGGCTCATATCTTTCCGAGTTCGGTTAATTACTAAATTGTTCGACATTACACACGTTAAATGCATCATATGCTAAATAGCTAACGAAAATGCACTAAATTGTTAGTGCAAATCTACGAATCTAAAAATATATTAATAAAAATCCATACATCTAAAGATATGGAACAATAATATGTAAAAGTGCAAAAACATATACATATAGTGGCATTGAATTCAACAATCATCATTTAAACAACGGTGCACCATTGACAATCAATAAAATCTGATGGGATCAAATAAATTATAAATAAAAGCTTGGATTAAAGAAGTGTTGATAAATTCAGTCCCTAATAGGATCTAATCTCACTGAACATGATAAAATTCATATAATCAAACAATAAGAAAACTAACCGGTTGAGGAGAAACCAAACGTTGATGGCGAAGATGATGAAGCCATGATGTCTTTGAATTCTCTAAGGATACAAGTGGATTTCGATGATTAAATGATCTTCCTTGGATCTCCTAATATAGGTGTTCTTGAGACCTTTGGGAAGAGACGTGTCCGGCCATTTTAGTCGTAAGAATGGAACGTACGGGTGTTTTATCTTGAATCAAAGAGAAACCCCTTTGGTCCCTTATGTATTACTTAATGTTAAAACATACCCATCATATGTTAACTATACATAAATACAGGGACCAAATCTGTCATATGGCAAATTTAATTGTAAGACATAAATGTCCCCAATATATCTTAAATTTTATAAATGGTCCAAGGGCACTTAAATGGAATATTTTCCAACATTATCCCACTTGACCTTAAGATCATTTATACATAAGTTAAAGTAAGTTTTGGCCAAGAAAATTTCATCTCACTCCATAATAATATCAAAGCAAACAAATACAGTCTAACGGGTCAATATAACCCGGGACCCCCATTAATCATACTTTGACACTTCTTAAAGAGTATAAGGATTAATATAAGTCAAATGACATTAAACTTAGGGCATTATGTTTGTCTATTAAATAACTTTGTGTGCACAATGAAGAATAGACAAAACATACTTAAGGAGGAATTCTAAATCAAGTACTTGAAAATATTAAATAAGATAACTAATCAGACACTATGCTATTAATTCCTAAGCAGGATCTTTGATCAAGCCCATATTAGTGACATGTCTTTGAAAAATACTGGGCGGAAGTCCTTTGGTGAGAGGATCTGCTAGCATATCATTTGTGCTGATGTGTACGATACAAATTTCGTTTTCCTCCACTCTTTCTCAAACGAACAAATATTTTGTATCGAGGAACAATCCCGCTCCACTCAAATTGTTATTGTTTGAGAAGCTCACGGCCGCGGAATTGTCACAATAAATCCTTAGTAGCCTTGAGACGGAATCCACTACTTTGAATCCTTTGATAAGATTCCTTAACAACATCCCATGACATGTTACGTTGTACACCGCAACATATTCGGCCATCATTGTTGAAGTAGTCGTAAGTCTTTGCTTGTGGCTTTTCCAAGATATTGGCCCACCTGACAGCAAGAAAACGTATCCCGAAGTAGACTTCCTATCGTCTTTGCACTTAGCAAAATCGGAATCGGAATATCCAACCACTTCTAAATTATTAGACCTCTGATAAGTCAATTTGTACTCCTTAGTCCCTTGAAGATACCGCAAAACTTTCTTAGCGGCTTTCCAATGATTTAATCCTGGATTAGATTGATATCTACCCAACATACCGGATACATATGCGATATCTGGACGAGTACAAACTTGTGCATACATCAGGCTTCCAACTACGGAAGCATAAGGAATGAGTTTCATTTGCTCTTTCTCAACCTCGGTTTTCGGGCATTGGAATGACCCAAAAACGTCTCCCTTAACTACGGGAGCAACTGATGGAGAGCATTGTTGCATGTTGAAACGTTCTAAAATGCGCTCAATGTATGCTTTTTGGGACAGGCCTAACGTCCCTTTGACTCTGTCTCGGTGAATTTCAATGCCTATAACATAAGAAGCTTCACCTAGATCTTTCATGTCAAAATGGCCAAATAATAAGCGTTTTGTTTCATGCAACAAATCCAAGTCACTACTTGCTAATAAGATGTCATCAACATATAACACAAGTATGATGAATTTGCTCCCACTCATTTTGAGGTAAGTGCGTTGATCTACTTTGTTTTTAATGAAGCCATTTGATTTCATGACTACATCAAATTTAAGGTACCATTGTCGAGATGCTTGCTTGAGCCCATAAATAGACTTCTTGAGTTTACACACTAGATGTTCTTGACCCTTAGAAACATAACCTTCTGGTTGTATCATATAAACATCTTCGTGTAAATCTCCGTTTAAGAAGGCTGTTTTGGCGTCCATTTGATGTAGCTCAAGATCAAAGTGAGCTACTAAAGCCATAATGACCCTTAGGGAGTCCTTTCGAGAGGCGGGTGAAAAGGTCTCTTGATAATCTACACTTTCCCTTTGAGTGTACCCCTTGGCGACCAATCTTGCCTTATATCTTTCAATGTTTCCCTTTGCATCTAATTTAGTCTTGAAGACCCTCTTGCTTCCAACGGGCTTATGACCCTTTGGTAATTCAGCAAGTTCCCAAACATTGTTCTTCTCCATGGAAAGAAGTTCCTCATTCATGGCTTCTTTCCAATGAGTCGATTGGTCACAATTAATGGCATCAAGGAAAGATATAGGATCTATGACTTTCCCTAAATTAAAGTCGGCTTCTTCATTCAAATATATCAAATATTCATCAAAATTTGTGGGGCGTCTGACCCTTTGAGATCTCCTTAAGGGTTGCTGATTTTCCGGAATTTCATTAGTAACCGGTGGAGTTGGTTCAACATTGATTGGAGTTTCATTCGCCTCTTGACTTGTTGCATCATTATTATGAGGTGTATGACTTTCACTATGATCTTCAAGTGAGGAGTTAGGTGGAATGGACAGTATAATAAATGGATTTATTCCATTGCCCTCTTGAAGTTCATCACAAAAGTTTGAACCACTACTACTCCCACTAATGTTAGTATTCTCAAGGAATTCCGCATGTCGAGTCTCGACAATTCGGGTGGTATGAGATGGGCAATAGAACCTATATCCCGTAGATCTCTCAGGATAGCCAATAAAGGAACAACTGATGGTTCTCATGTCAAGTTTCTTCAATTGAGGATTATACACTTTTGCTTCAGCCGGACAACCCCACACTTTTAGGTACCGTAGACTAGGTTTCCTGCCCGTCCAAAGCTCATATGGAGTCTTAGGGACAGATTTAGATGGTACTCTATTCAGTATGTGGGTTGCTGTTTTTAAGGCCTCGGTCCATAAGAATTGGGGAAGATTAGAGTTAGCCAACATACTTCGGACCATATCCATAAGAGTCTTGTTCCGCCTTTCCGCAACCCCATTTTGTTGAGGGTGCCAGGCATGGTATATTGGTTGATGATCCCGTGAACTTTACAAAATTCATGGAAAGATCCAGGAGCTTGACCAATATCAGTGTGTCGACCATAGAACTCTCCACCCCTATCTGATCTCACTACTTTGATTTTTCGATCAAGTTGATTTTCAACTTTGGCTTTATAAGCCTTGAACATATCTAGTGATTCAGATTTTTCCTTAATCAAATATAGGTACATATAGCGTGAATAATCGTCTATGAAAGTAATAAAGGACTTATGACCACTAATGGAATCGGAAAAAGGACCACAAATATCGGTGTGTATTAATTCTAACAAACCGGTGCTTCGTGTGGCGCCTTTCTTAGTTTTCTTAGACAATTTCCCTTTCAAACACTTCACACATTTGTCATAATCTGAGAAATCGAGATTTGGAAGAATGCCATCTTTCACGAGTCTTATCATTCGATCTTGTGATATGTGGCCCAACCTTTGATGTCACAAATTAGACGATGATTCTAATTCTCTCTTTCTCTTGCAAGGATTTTACGTTATATTAAATGACAATGGGGATTCCATAAAATTAGTATCTAAGCATAGTTTATAGAGGTTTCCCTCCATGCTACCAAATCCTATTACATTTGAGTTCAAGCTTAATGTCACTTTATTGTATACGAAATTAAATGTAAAACCATTAGCACTTAGTTTCGATACAGACACTAAATTACGAGTAATATTTAGTACATAAAGAGCATCACGAAGATGAAGAATGAAGCCACTCTCTAAAATTAATGAGATAGTTCCAATGGCCTCCACTTCTAATTCTTCTCCATTGCCCACCTTAATCACTCTTTTCTTTCTTCCCAATGTCCGGATTGAATGGAATCCCTGCAGTGTGTTTGAAACATGAACCATTGAACCAGAGTCAATCCACCAAGTATTAAGGGGAACTGATGTGTTCAATGACTCATAAATCACATAAGTGGTTAAGTTACCTTTCTTAGTCAACCATGCCTTAAACTTAGGGCACTCCCTCTGGTAATGCTCTTTGAAGCGACAAAACTTGCAGTAGGGACCGGAGCTCTCATTTGCACCTATCTTTGAGACCTTAGAAGTATAATCTTTTCTTCCTCCTTGACGGTTACCTTTCCTTTTCTTTGAGTTTGTGGTGGTGAGATGAACAACATCTAGTTTTTCAGCTTTAAGGTGCTCTTCTTCTTGAACGCACATAGCAATCAACTCGCTCATTGTCCACTTCTCTTTCTGCGTGTTATAATTGATCTTGAACGGACCATATGATGCAGGTAGAGAAGTCATTATGAAATGAATGAGGAAACCTTCACTGATCTCCATGTCCATGCTTTTGAGCTTATTGGACATATCAGACATTTTCATGATGTGCTCACGAATACCACTCACTCCATCGTACTTACTTGTCAATATTTTGAGAATTAGGGTACTAGCATGTGCTTTAGAAGTGCCCTTAAACTGTTCTTCCACGTATTCTAGGTAGATTTTCGCATTTTCAAGTCTGGAATGGCTCCGCGAATAGCTACAGATATGGAATTCTTGATCACCATGAGGCACATTCGGTTGGACCTCTCCCACTGTTCATAAGAACGCTTCTGATCCACAGTGCTCTCAGCGTTAGGAGCATCCGGTGGATCAGTTCCATCATGCCAAGTGAGAGCTTTACAGATTCTCTCCATGTTGAAAAGTTTGTACCATTTAGAGGTTCTATCCCATAATTATATGGGGTAACAGTAGATGCTGAAATAAAAGTTTTAACAGAGGTAATAATAGAAGCTATTATTATAATATATAAGGGAATACAATAAGGCATGTCAATCATTAGTAAATAAGCCTATTATCAACACCAAATAATAGGAAAAATTCATATCGTGTTTAATAACTAACATTGTGTTGGCTAATGTTAATTATCAAATATTATGATATTAAAATTAAAATTAGGCTGCAAATTGTGTCACAGATCACCTTTGGGCAGAAATATAACACATTTGATTACGCTTAAATTTCATTATACAAGTATCAAGTAACACACCTTTGGGTTTGTTAAAAGAAAAACTCATACAATTATTTAAGATAGTCAAAATCAATAATATTCCGTTGGGCCAATCATTGAATTTGACATTAAGATCATTAATCAATAATCCATACTATGATTTCAATATGGCAGAAATTTTGAAGTTGCTGCAATATTAGTCCTAACTAATTTTCCTTAACAAAATCAAATGTATAGGAACTATCTAAATGTTATCTCCATTCCAATTTCTGGAGAATTAACTAGAATAAAGAAAAATACCAACTGACAACTAACGTGGAATAAAACTACGTACGCAGTACGCTAGATTTCAACAATAAATTTGCAGATGCAAATAAACTGTCATTTAGTGTTTCAAGTAGCCTTTTAAAGCAAATAAACGGATTAAGATGAAAAGTGAATTTCAAACACGAATAAAGCAGAGACACATGTTGCTACTTGCTAGTGTGTTGGCAATTAATCCACTAATATACATGAGGAAAAAATAACACAGTGAGAGACATCACTTTAAAGCAGAATAATATGTCAAACAAAACTCTGGCAGCAACAAATTAAGGAATCAAATTGAAAACCGCCGTTTTAGAACTTAGTGGAAAAACATACGAGTTTTCAGAAACTCAATCTGTTGCTTTCAGAAACTTGCAGAATTCACAAATTGGTTGAATCAATTAGGCAGATTGAAAATTTCTTATATTATCGAGGTAAACGAGAATTAACTTGCTCGGTTGAGGCATCAAATTAAACTCAAAATGGTTGGTTCAAAATCCAGAAGAAACATGACAACCAGAATTCTTAAACGCCTTTTATTTCATCATGAAAAGTATAATCGGCAAAACTAATAAATCATTTAGGCATATTCAAAACTTCAAATTTTATCAACGTAAGTGAGAATTAACGGGCTCTGATACCAAATGTTGATAAATTCAGTCCCAAATAGGATCTAATCTCACTGAACATGATAAAATTCATATAATCAAACAATAAGAAAACTAACCGGTTGAGGAGAAACCAAACGTTGATGGCGAAGATGATGAGGCCATGATGTCTTTGGATTCTCTAAGGATACAAGCGGATTTCGATGATTAAATGATCTTCCTTGGGTCTCCTAATATAGGTGTTCTTGAGACCTTTGGGAAGAGACATGTCCGGCCATTTTAGTCGTAAGAATGGAACGTATGGGTGTTTTATCTTGTATCAAAGAGAAACTCCTTTGGTCCCTTATGTATTATTTAATGTTAAAACATACTCATCATATGTTAACTATACATAAATACAGGGACCAAATATGTCATATGGCAAATTTAATTGTAAGACATAAATGTCCCCAATATATCTTAAATTTTATAAATGGTCCAAGGGCACTTAAATGGAATATTTTCCAACAAGAAGAACTTCATCCATGGGGACAGAAACATACTTTTTAATGTAAAGTTCACAAACTAAATTCCGAAATACTAATTAATTTCTTATCATGAACCATGTGGAGGATAGGAGATTATATGCTTTGATCGGAAAGGATATTCACACACTCTTCAACTTCATAAGAAAAATTAGAAACATGAGAGAAAGAGAGTTACATTTGTAGGAAGAAGATGAGAATAAGGTGAAGATGAGAATTGGGATTGTTGATGAATGAGATGAATAAAGATAGAGATGAGAAGGGAAGTTGTTGATGGTGTTCACATGAGATTCATTGTGAAGGATGATGTTCTAGTCCCTTGGTTGCCGATCGATGCCCCTCATTGATGTGAATTTTTTATCTTAAACTAGATTCATTGTTGATGGTGTTCACATGAGATTCATTGTGAAGTACTTGTATAGTTAGTTGTGTCACTCCTTGGGGAAGTCTCAAAGCAACCATTTGGGCTTGCACCCAGTTCCGAATTGGAATTTTAAAAGACGTTATTTAAGATTTTATTTATAAAAAAAAAACAAGATTTTTGTAGATCTTTTTTATACTCTGTAAAATGTTGTTTGTTATGATTTTCTGTTTTAAGGGGTGTTTGGATCTGATTCTTAAAACTGCTTCTGCTCCTTCAGGGAGCAGAAGCAGAAGTTGGAGTGTTTGGGTGAAAATGCAGAAGTGATTCTGATGCTCTAATTTACTCCTAGAATCGATTTTTTTAGAAGCTGGGGGGTACCAACTTCTGAAAACTGATTCTGATTCTGCTTCTGCTTTAAAAAAGAAGCAGAATCAGTTCCAAACACCCCCTTAAATCCTCTCTATCCTACCCCTTCCCCAATATATACTTTGTAATACATATTCCAATAGTCTCAAACAAAAGTTCTCACTTGCTTATTTTGGACAACTCATATAGAGACTCACATTTTCATTGTAAACAATACTCAATACACTTAAATAACAATATAATCATCAAATATTAAAAATAATACATTTATAACGTCATACATCATCAATCGCCCCATTATATTATTTACAAATCCAAATTACTACTCAAATTACTTTAGAGTTTTATGTAATCATTGTTTAAAAAATTGTACCATTTTTAAATGAGAACCATAAGGAGAGATATTATTATACATCCCCAAAGTGAAATTGTCATAGGAAACACCACTTGAAATGGAATTGGTAGCCCACACTTTATTTTGTTAAACTTAACGTCTCAACTTTCAAGCCCTTGATATAAATAAAAAGGGATTCAAGAAAATACTTGAAAAGAATTAAAATTCACATCTATCTTTTTCTAAAATGGCCAAACTTCATTCTTGACAAGCTGCTCGATATTGATGGGATAAACGAGATCAGGACCTCCATTGAAAGACATCTTCCCAAGCAATACATTGACGGAAGATGTGGGGTGATAGGCATCCCAAAATATGTACTCTTCTCTGTTTGTGCAAGGCACTTCATACGGCAAGCATGTTACTTGCCCGTTCAGTTTCCCAACTCCACAACAGCCACGATCAGTAACATTGAACCCTGAAAGATTATTTCATAAAAGAAAGTACAATTGCTCGTTGGTGAAGATATTAATTAGTAATTACAATAAATTTCATATATGAAAAACTTAATTAATTAGGGGTTACTATTGCATATCAGTAATTAACCGGTATATATATATATATGTACCGAATCGCTCCAGTCAAAATGAGAAAAGCTGCATTGACCGAGTAACTGGTATACTATTATAGTTGATACGTACCATATGTTTTGGAGTTGGCGGTGATATTGCTGAACATATTTTGGGTGTCAAGGAAGACAAACTTAGCGTCAGGGAGAGTGGACTTGAAGTTGTCGATCATCTGCTTCATGTTGGCATTAAATGGGGCAATGGCTTCATTCACACCATCTAAGCACTTCCCGTTTTCAGTCCTGGCCAGCATTGTAGGGATGCACCCTAATGCTCCAACCCCACCCAGTACAAATTTCCTACCTCCAAGATTGTACAGTCTCTGCATGCAAAAGGTCGTCGGCCTCGTATGAGGAGTAGCTCATATTTTAATGTAACACTTTATTACTTCACAATTTTCATGTATGAGATTTCAACAAATACTAACTATATATAGCTGATTAGTTGATACTACTAACTTACAGTGAGTTGTTGGGTGTATTGTTGAATCAAAAGATCGGCAAATTGTTGAGGATTGTAGGTCATACTAGTAGGGTAACCGGGCAGGAAATAGTTGTTGAGGTAGTCATTGCTGCCCATCCCCACAAACAAAACCGAATATGGAATGTCCCCTTTCACCACATCGGCACTCAGATTGCCTGATAGTATATCTATCGTTTTCGCGAAGTTTGCGATCTGTTCATTGAACGGAACACGTTCCACCTGCATAATATATGTAATTTTTTAAACAAAACTATTCCAATTTATCATGATTGAAATATTGTCAATGTTGATCAGACTAAAAGAATCTGATATGTAATCGATTTGAGTCTGATCTCAATCAGTCGGTCTGATTCTATAGTTCAGACCAGAATGTGCTCGAGCCTGCGTAGAGCTACTAGTATATACTCCGTACTACCTTACGTATATGATTTCACGTTGCGAGAATTGAGAAAAGGTGAGGACTTACGAAGTGTTCGCCGGTTATGTCTAGAATGCCGGCAGCGGCGGAGGCGTAGTTGACTCCAAAACGCATTTGGTCGATGGTGGGAGGATCAGAGAATGCCGGAGCAAATGGTAGTCCCAGCAATTCACCTATACATTACCCATTAACACATTTGATAAATCGATCATTTGAAACATAAAATTAGAAAATACAAAATAATTAGCTTAGGTTGATAACATGAATATTAAAATTCATTATTCACAAATAAATTAGAATAGATTGGTAATCTATTTCAAGAGTGATAGGATTCTTGAGCTTGTTATTAGTGTAAATTTGGGAGAATTGCAATTATAGTCACCTAACTTTCGGATGTATCCGTTATTAGTCTTGTAACTTTACTTAGTTGCAGATTTGGTCCGGTAATTAATAATTTTTTACAATTTAAGGACTTTTTCCCTTGAAAGTAAACTTTTCGGCAAACAATTGGACTCCGACAACATCTTTTTTGACGAATTCATGGCCGAAAAGTGTACTTTTCAATGGAAAAGTCCTTAAGTTAAAAAGATCTTTTAGTTACAGGACTATATATGCATTATAGGATTAATAATGAGTATAACCGAAAGTTACGGGACTAAAATTGCAATTGACCGTGTAAATTTTAAAGAACGGTCGACTTTACATATTTAAGTTGTGTGAGTTGAAATGAGTTGAAATAGTTAAAATTTCGATTGAGGAATATATACATTTTAAAATAACACTCTTTAAAATCTAATGTAACAATAATTGTAGTTTTCAAAAAAATGTGTAAAGAGGTAGCTTCAGTGTGCATTTTAAAACATTCGATTGAAGGCCTGTTTAGCCTGTTTACTACCAGAGATATTTTTCAGTTTTTCAGAAAACTGGAAAACTAGAAAACAGAAAACAGGAAACGTGTTTACTAAATAAAATTGCTGGAAAACTAGAGAAAGGAAAACAGAAAAACGTGTTTACCAAACCATTTTTCAAAACGAAAAAATGAGACATATCTCTCTTTTCCTTAATGATTTGGAGAAGCAACTTTTACTAGTTTTCCAAAATTGGAAAACGCAGATGCTAGAGGCCGCTACAATGAATTTGCATACATACACCTAGTGGTGGGTCTGATCCCACTCTGATGTTGATTCCATTCTAGTACCTCCATGACTCCATCCTCGTACCTTACACCTTACCCCTACCCTACCCTACCCACCCCTACCCACACCCCGCATGCCCCTTTTTCCCTACAATGACCCTACCCCACCCCTACCACATGCCCCTACCTCGGTCCCACCCCGATCCACCCTACCCTACCACCACCCGTACCACCTCAACCCCACCCCGACCCACCCTACCCTACTCCCACCTCGTATATTACCCTTTACCCCTACCTTACCCCTTCCCACCCCACCCACCCCCACCCACCCACCTCCACCCACCCCAACCCATACCTTCCTTCCCTACCCTGACCCCTACGAGTAGGTATGGGTGGGTATGAAGGATATTAAGGGAGTATGGGCAGAGTGTAAGATCGTGGTAAGGGTAGGGGTAGGGGTCAAGGATGTGAAATTGGGTGTAGGGTGTAGGATGGGGGTACGAGATATATATAGGGGCAGGGTAGGGGTTAGGAGTATGGGTACACGTACGAGGTGATCGACATCACATATTATATTATATATTTGTGTTGATAAATGTTTGTGTGTCTATATATGAATAGGGTTATTTTGGACATTTTAATGTTAAACGGTGTTTTAAACCTTTTGAAGTAAACATGATCTTATAACATTGCTTGTTTTATTCATCGCTTATTAATGCGAGTCTTAATAAGCACCATTTAGTAACCCATGTAGTAAACGTGTCAGTCTTCTGGATGATCATAGAACTGGGTGAAAAAATTGATGAACATGTTTTCAGATTTAAAAATGAAAAACTAGAAAATAGAAACAGAAAACTAGAGATAGAAAAACTGAAAAATAAAAACAGAAAATTGGAGAACAACAAACAGAAGTAGAAAACAGGAAAATGTCTCTCTTAGTAAACAAATTCTCAAAAAGAAAAGTACATTTCATCTTAAAACACAAGAAAACTCAAAATGATCTGAACAGGTCCTAAATTATTGGCTCTTCATCTAACGTAACGATTTGAATATGAAAACAAAAGCAAAGTAAACAAAAACTTATAAGGTTGCAAATAGCAATAATCAAAATTGAAATTCTAATTAATGGGTATATGTAGTCGAGAGTTGTACCGATTTCATCAACAATGGTGTAACCATTAGAGAAGCGACCAGTGGGACCCTGGTTGAAATCAATGCCATAAGGAGGGTAATTGGCCTTGGCAAGTGAAAACAGATTGTTGTTATTCCCATTATCAACCAGTGAGTCTCCGAAAATGAACATGGCCGGCACTAACCCTCTTCCGGCACCACCCATCGCCGGCGCCGGAGCCGGCGCTATGGCCACCTCATTTCCTTTCACAACTCCTCCTAACACTGGACTACCAACAATACTCAACACCATTATAAACAGCGTAGAAAATTGGTACAGTGCCATTTCGTTGGGACGTATAGATATGGTGATGGAAGGAAGAGAACGTTGGACCTTAATTTATACTACTCTATCTAATAGAATTGAAGCATACATATCAGTACACCCCGTGTCTGTGAGAGTTTTTTTTGTTTGTGAATCTCAGTTCACAGACGAAAACGGACTTGTTTTGTCTGTGAAAATTTCTACAGACAAAACAAGCCAGTTTTTGTCTATGGACTGGGATTCACAGATAAAAAAAACTCTCACAGATATGGGGGTGTAGTGACGTGTATAAGAAGGTCTACAAAAGGAATTTTTGATGTGAATATGAATGAACAAAACATGTGACTGCTTTAATTAACCTCGGTTCGTAACGGACATGCATGTCAAATTCACATAATATTATCTGTCATAAATCATTATGTTGACTTTGAGCGATGGACTAGTGAAGTTTGATCGCAGAATCTAAACTGGATTACGGAAACTTTGACTTTTATGATAGAGTTTCGTTATAAAAAATATTATTTCTACACGTCAACTTTTACACAACATTTTACAAGCTTTTGTTAGTGTGAAAAACTATTTTCTTCATAAAATGATGGTCAAATTGTTTTTGTGTAGACAATTTGACCAACGTGTAAAATGTTGTGTACAACTTGCTGTGTACTCAAAGCATGATTGATTCATTCTATGTCTATTTATAATTGTTGAAGTGTGGTCAGGTATATGACCACATCTCATTTCATCTGGTGTAATCTACCTAAGTCTGATTTGATCTAGTTTAGTACGTAGTATAATTTAATTTTGTTTGAGACTGTCCAATTAAAAACATCACAAATCAACATATAAACTTAAACCAATATATAATCAAAATAAAAATAGTGGATCAAAATATAACTGTGATAACTTTAGTAACTATAATTGTATTCAAATGTTACATCATAGTAACTACAAAACTTATGGATACTAATTTATAGTCACATTTTTGTCCACAAATTTTTTATGATGATATGCTAGTAAAAACCTGTAAACTTTATGAGATAATTAATGATTAAACAATTAATGCGTTTACTAGATGTATTTGACTAAAATTGGTCATATATACTTTTTAAAGAAACACTGGCCATATATAGTATGTATTTAATTTTATTTATTTAATTTTCTTGAAGACAAAAAATGTCAATCTTATCACTATGAAATTTGAGGGATTTAAAATTTTCGATAAATTTCAGGTGTCCTTGATTCTGAATTTTAAGAGTTTGGACATTTTTATTTTCAGCTATTCATTCTTATAACCCAATTCTGATTCTAAGAGTTTGCAATGTTTTTATTTTCACGTTTACTAATGCGCAACTTTGTTCATTGACATATTTCATTCCTTATTAGTAAAAACAAATAGAAAAAATCAGATTTGAAAATTTAAAATGAGACAAATTTAACATTTTCTTTTTAAGAACAGAAGTAATATAATAATTAAATGTTATGTGTTTGTAGTAAAATATAATTATCATAACAAATAAATTCATAATTTTTTAAATAATTAAAATAAGAGTCCAGGTTGGTGTTTCTCAGGGTCTAAAAATGTTTGCATACATTATAAAAATACATATATAATTACTAATTTTTTTATAATAAGAATATGAAAATAGAACTATACAAATATATAGAATAGTTATTGATTAAAGGGAAAAATAATTAAAATACCCCAAACTTTGTAGGGGTGTGAGATGAACACCTCAAACTTGCATATGTATTTTAAATACCCCAAACTTTATATAAAAAGTTATTTTAGCACCATAGTCAAATACTGTGTATTATTTCTTTCAAAAATATAAATTTATGGTGTTAATTGCATAATTTAAAATATTTTAGAATTCATGAAGACACAATTAACATTATAAACTTTAATTGCAAAATAAATAATGTTACCCACAATCTATATAATTGCAACACTTTTAATTTTCTATTTTAAAGTATGCAATTAACCTCATAAATTTATATTTTTGAAAGAAATAATACATGACAATGATGCGAAAATAACGTTTTATATAAACTTTGGGGTATTTAAATTACATACGCAAGTTTGGGGTGTTTACTTCACACTCCTTCAAAATTTGGAGCATTTTTATTATTTTTCCCTTGATTAAATGATGTTCTAAGATAAAACAGAGAAAATAAGTTGGATACCCGCACGGGTAGCTCAGTTGGTCGAGCGGTGGGAAAATTGGAACAAGTGACTAACTTTCGAAACCCGCAGCGGCCGTGTGGAGGTTACAGAACCTGAAATAAGGCTGGACCTATGGTGCGCACATGTATAAGGCCTACCGCCGCTTTGTTGACTGAGTCACCATGATTAATTCCTCCACCATCCTGTCGGGTCGGGGTGGGTGGGCTCCTGAGGTGGGAGATTCCACCTTTTGGACCAAGAGAAAATAAGTTGGGTCAGGAACATTTCTAATCAGTACCGTCTAGTCCGCCTAATCGTCCGACCAATTTTCCTGTCCATTACATCAAAATTGAGGTATTCGGATATCGTCTAGGGGTTATGGCCTAGGCAAGTAGCGCTGAGCAAAACCGACCCTACCCGAAAAACTCAACCGGATTAACCCGAATTTTTAAGAATGGGTCGGTTGACCCGACCCGAATCCTTGAAACCGACCCGCCAGCCCGATTTGCTATGGCCCGAGACACAGCGGGTAGGGTTCTCCTAATCCCTACCCGACTCGCCCGAAAACTCGACCTAGCCTAAGCCCAATTCCCCCAAGCCCATAACCCATAACCCAAGTAACTAACCCTTCCCTTATCCCTTATCCCTTCCCCCAAATAACCCTAACTTACAGTACTCTATCTCTAACTCTCTAAGCGGCTAACCCTAACCTTGACATACACTCTCTACGACTCAGAGCCTCAGAGGAGTGAGAGACTCTGACTTCTCACTTCGTCGGCCGTTGTTGCCATTGCTGTAGGGTTGTGGTCCTCAACCTAGTGGAACTGTGGAAGCCTTGATAGTCTTCTAGCCCAGCGTGAGTAGTTGAGACTTGAGAGTTGAGACTGATTCCCAGTCATTCTTCTTCGAGCCTTTGAGGTATAAAATACTTAAAAATGTTCGTACAATGGTATGATTAGTCCTTCATGATGCATGCATGTTCTGAGTTTTCAGTTTTGAACTTGTGATGTTCGTATATATTTCTGAAACTTGCATGTTGATTGAATGAATGTTGAGTTCTTCACACTTGGTTTCTAAGTTCAGTCATGTACAGATCTGTTTGAATGTTTGCTTGTCCAGTTGTCCCTCTTAATTGTTGATCTATTTTAGTATATATATACACACATGATGTCCTGATTGAGTTACTGTCTTACTGACTGCATATGTACAGCTCTTATAATGCATTTAAAATTTCAAATCTGTTTATTTGAAATATGAATGAAATGTGGAAGCTATATATTATATAATGAAGTGTGGAAGCTATTACTGACTGCATATGTACGGCTCTTATAATGCATTCGGAATTTGAAATCTGTTTATTAGAAATATGAATGAAGTGTGGAAGCTATATATTACATAATGAAGTGTGGAAGCTCTTACTGACTGCATATGTACAGCTCTTATTCATGTGTTGCCTACTTGCCTACTGAGTACTAGCTACTGTGGAGATGTGGTTGTGATGTATTTATATGAACCTATACACCTATACAGGTTGTCGTGTACATAAACTATGTGGAAGTTTAGTATACACCTATCAATATATCATGCGTTGCTTACTTTCTTACATAACTGCCTTCTGATTAATTTGAACAACCCTTTTTGTACTCTAGTACTCAAAGGAGTACAAAGAGTGAACTGGGTTCTTCAGAGTCTGTAGGGAAGTGAAAAAGCAAAGTGTTTTTATCCTTCTGTAAATTAGCTTGTTGATTGTTCTAGACTTGCACTATTTACATATTATCTGTGAGGTATTAAGTATTAACAATGTGGAAGCTTAGTACACACCTATCAATATATCATATGTTGCTTACTTGCTTACATAACTGCCTTCTGATTAATCTGAACAACCCTTTTTGTACTCTAGTACTCAAAGGAGTACAAAGAGTGAATTGGGTTCTTCAGAGTCTGTATGGAAGTGAAAAAGCAAAGTGTTTTTATCCTTCTGTAAATCAGCTTGTTGGTTGTTCCAGACTTACACTATTTACATATTATCTATGAGGTATTAAGTATTAACAATGTGGAGGCTTAGTATACACCTATCAATATATCTTGTGTTGTTTACTTGCTTACATTAGATGGACCCTGAAGAATATGTGACCTTTTGTACATCTGGATCTCAACCTCCTCTGAGTCAAGAAACAGTGGTGGAAGGTCAAAATCATGAGCCTAACATTACCAATGAGCAGACTGCACCACATGTTGTTTCTGAACAAAAGAGAAAAGTGGTTGACAAAAGATCTAAGATTTGGGATCACTTTGATAAAATTAAGAATGAAAAGGGTGTGGTTATTAAGGGGAGGTGCATATACTGTGAAAAATATACTATTGTCACTCTAAGAAACATGGAACTTCCTCCATCAGAAATCACATGCTTACTTGCATGAAAAACCCCCATGCTAAAGACACTAGACAAGCCCTATTAACCTTCCAGCATGTACCTCCACAAACAGGTCAACCATCTAGTAAGATTGGAGTCATGGGAACTTGGGTATTTGATCAACAAGCTATTAGGAGAGCTCTAGGTGAAATGTTAATCATTGATGAGCTTCCTTTTAGATTTGTAGACAGATAAGGTTTTAGGAATTTTGTTGCTACAGCCTGTCCTAGGTTTCAATTTCCTTTTAGATGGACAATTGCTAGAGACATTTTTCAAATATACCTTGATGAAAAAATGACTCTAAAACATAATTTTAGGGAACACACTCAGAGAGTTAGTATAACTACTGATACATGGACCTCTATTCAGAGGATAAATTACATGTGCATTACTGCTCATTTCATAGATCATCAGTGGAAGCTCCAGAAAAAAATAATTTCCTTTGTCCTTTTCACCTCTCACA